AGATTTAAACACTTCTATGAACTCATGTATCTAAGTAGTTAAACCAGAATCTGAATCCACGAGGTCTGGCTTCATGTGAAAAAAGGCAGTTACTAGAGAAAGATAATTATTCCTAGCACTAAGTGCATAAAGAAATATCAATGAATAAATTAAATAATACCAGAATCAGCTGTATGATTTTACCTATCCTCTAGCTTCACTATAATTCAAATACATTTTTTTATTGTCCACAGAGATGTAACATAAGAGACTGAGTCAACTGTCTACGTTTGGGACATCTGTGGCAAAACTATATATGGATATACACACATACACACACACACACACACACACACATATACACACACACACACACACACACACACACACATATACATATATATATACCCAAATACAAAAAATATCCAAATATATATATATATGTCTATACAAAATATCCAAATATAAAAGATATCCAAAAATAAATGGAAGGTAGTTTGTATAACTTTGAATTAGTCTCCTAGTATCTATAGATTCCTACTTTCCTTCCATAGGTACACAACCAGTATTTTTATGTCTTCCAAACTAATCATTATTTTTCTAATGACCTTATAATTTCAAGTTTAAAAGTATTTTTCCCATAACTTTACATGGACCAACAGACATAAGGCTCTTTTAAGGATCTCCAAGAAAAGCATCATTTAGTAAGTTCTGTTATAAAAAGGAATTGTGAATAAGTGGATAAACCTGCTGATTCAAATGATCTGAATCTCTACCCTTTAAATTATTTTTCACATAATGCAGGATCTGATAATAAGAATAGAACTTTTTTCTAACTTTTTAACTATATTACATTTGGCAAGTTACATTCTATGGACCACCAAAAAGATTATAGGTTTTTAAATAATTTACAACATTTTCTTTTTAGGTTTTCACCAGGTAAAATTGAAATATATAATAAATGTGTTCAAATAAAAAAATTTTTGAAGAAGAAACATACAATAGAAACATACTAAATAGTAAGAATCTAAAGCAAAAGGAGAGCAGTAAATGTGTTATATGTAATATGTATTATATAGCATGAGACCACCTGGATTGACAAAGTACTCATCTTCAGAACTGCCTAGAGCATGGTACTGAACACTGGTCAGAGCTGTGAAATGTACTAACCAGGGACAAATGATGCTTTGCAAATATGGGTCCATGAATTGTTTGAAGGCAAGACAGACTAACTTGTCAAAACTGGTAATAACCGGATTTGTTACTTCTACTGGGATTTGGTAGAATCTAGGGGCTGTCAATGATTTCAGTGAGAAATCCCTACCATACGTAGACTTTGCACTTCTTGATACCAAGATGCTTCATGCACATGCCTGTGGTGGTTTAGAATCTGGAGACCAAGTCCTGTGAGGCCCAGTGGAAGGATGAGCCTGAGTCCTCCATGCCCACCCTGTTAATGCTCATCTTTCTCCTGCTGTTCCTGTGTTGCATCATTTCTGAGTATAAACTATTTGAATCCTGCGGGTCCTTTCCTAATCAATTACATAATTACATGATATATAAACACAGTACTTACAGTGAGTGCTTCGTTTTAAGCAATATCAGTTAAGTGAAGGAAATAATAATCATTTACCGGAACCACTTGTTAACCATGGCCTAACGTATGCTTTAATTCATTTAAATGATGTAGGGTTGAAAAACGTACATATACCCTTGAAAGTTGCAACATTAAAATAGTTGTAATTTCTCTAGAGCATTAAAAATGTCATATTCATGGGGTCTTTGTTAGTAGTATTGGTTCATGAACTCAGGTATCGTAATTTTTACTTTACTAGAATAAAGTAGACTGAGGTCAGATGGAAAATAATTCTCTGAAAGTGTGGATGAAGTCACAGAACTTCACTGTATAATTTCGATTCACATCCAAATGGTGACACCAATTTCATACACATTTCAAGGAAATAAGTAAAAATCTTGACCTCCAATACTTAAGAAATAATCACCATTCAAATCTCAGTTTTGTTTTTCTCATCACCTCTAGCTTCACATCTTTCTCCTACTTGGATCTTTAGACCCACGGCTCTCACACATTCCTCCCAGGTCTGTGCCTACTAGTTAGGAAAAAAATCAAACTAAACTGACTAATTTTGTAGATATCATTTTTTGAGAATAAATTTTAGTAACCACTAAATATGATAGCAAAGTCACCAAATAATAAGAAATTCAAAACCATACATATTTTAAATTCTCAGTTTTAAAAAGTTCATGAAAATACAGATCTTGTTTTTGGATCCTATTTTTGTATTAATACTTTATGAAGAACTACCACCTAAAATATATTCAGAGGATTCAAATATTTTTAATAAATTAAAATTGAGAAAAGACTTTTTCCTTATATTCAATTAACTAAGGCCCTGAGTTAAATAATTTGGGGGAACAAAGGGGGCCAAAGGTCCCATTTCAGTATCAAGACTTGTGCAAAGTGAATGAGGAAATAAAATGTATGCCTTTAAAATATGAAAGTAGAATGTGCTGTCACCTCAAGGTCAAAAAAATAGTATGAATGATGAGTGTTACCAGGAAGAAGAGATCACTAGGTAATACAGAGGTCAAGGAGGGCTTCTTCAGGGCAAAGGAGCTGAAATATGTGCCTTAAGATAAATAGGTTCTAAACAGAAGACAGTGTTTTAAACAGAAAAAAATGGCAGACAGAAAGGTACGATAATAAAACAGTAACTCACAAGGCACATTTGAAGGAATATGACTACACCAGTCCAACGGAACCAAAGTATGAACATAGAGAGAGGTAAGTGGTAAGACTGGATGATGAAAAAATTTTCCTATCTGGATAAAGAGCTTAGATTCTGTACAGAATGGAGGGCCACTGAAGGTTTCTGAAGAAGAGAGGCACATAATGGATGCAGAATTATTATTTCTACCTATAGGTGTTAGACCTTCCAGTGCCAGAGTTACACAGAATGAGTCAATTCCTTTTTCCATGATAGACAGACCTTCCTAGATTTGAAAACTATTCTTTTCCTCCACTAGGAGGAAGGATGAGAGGGACAGACTGAAGAAGGGAGAGCCTGCAATCAGGGTAGAGTTAAGAAGTCATTTGCAATTTGGACAAGGCTTGAAGGAAAGGGATGGCTAGGATTTCATGTAACTGTAAACTTCTTTGCAACTGAAAAAATGTTCTTATAAAAAAAAGAAAAAGAAAAATAGTCTTCTAAGTTTAATGTATATCTCACTTCACTTTAAAATTCACTTCAAAGCCTAATTGGGGTAGCTTTTAAACCAAGTTCAATACTGACATAGGAAAGTGCTGTCTCAAAAACAGACAACAATCTGCAGAAAGACAAATCGCCTGTCCTGAGGGAGCATCAGACAGTTTTTTATCTATGCTCTTTCCAATTATTTCACATCCTTTTCTCAGGACTATGGGTATTCTTGGAGCATCAACGTAGCACCCATAAAAGTCACGGATGTGTTCCTTAAACATTTCCTTCAGCATTAAAGGATATTTTCCAAATGAAACAGTCTAAATTCTCAAACTTAAACCCATGTTTGTGCAACATAAAGCATGCTACAAAAAAAATCTTCATGTTACTGTCTTTACAGCAATATTAACTCACTTGGTATTTTCAGAATATTTGGCAGTTCTATTCTGCTGATAACACTAAAACATTTGGAGACTTACCCATACTACATAATGTCCCCTATATGTTCCTTCATAGGATTGATGGAAAAGTATTAAGACATAAGAAACACTGTATTTAAAAACAAATACCCTATGGGGCAGCTGGGTGGTTCAGTCGGTTAAGCATCCAACTCTTGGTTTCAGCTCAGGTCACGATCTCACAGTTCATGAGTTCTAACAGCACATGAGTGCTAACAGCACAGAGCCTGCCTGGGATTCTCTTTCCCTCTCTCTCTCTGCCCCTTCCCGGCTCGCTTGCTCACTCTCTTTCTGTCTCAAAATAAATAAATAAACTTTAAAAAATACATACATACATACATACATAACTAACTTAGATGTAAATTAAAAAAATAAATAAAAATTAAAAACAAAACAAAAAAAAACATACATACATATATACATACATAAATGCCTTATGACCAAATAAAATGGATTTCTCAACTTGACCTTAGCTGGCTCAGGACTACTTTCTTATTTGTTTTCCAAGCTACAATTTTCAGAACCCCAGGATCAAATATAAATTTCAAGGTCTAAAAGAATGTACCCTCTGTACTTTAAATTGGCAAAGTTACAGTTTATCAAAGATTAGTCCTATAAAGTCTATGAAGAGATTTAAAAAAATTTTTTTTTCAACGTTTATTTATTTTTGGGACAGAGAGAGACAGAGCATGAACGGGGGAGGGGCAGAGAGAGAGGGAGACACAGAATCGGAAACAGGCTCCAGGCTCCGAGCCATCAGCCCAGAGCCTGACGCGGGGCTCGAACTCACGGACTGCGAGATCGTGACCTGGCTGAAGTCGGACGCTTAACCGACTGCGCCACCCAGGCGCCCTGAAGAGATTTTTTAAATGCATTTATTAACCTTACATAATTTGGACAGTCTTTCTAAGAACCATGTACCACTGGATATAGGTATAATCAGCTCAATTTCAACTTATTGTATAACTGATTTTATTAAAAGGATTTAGAGTCTAAATTCATATTTGTTGAGGATGTAAGTAGAAATTCTATCTAGTTAGGAACACTAACATAGTTCAGTAATTGACCATGTTGATTCACACTGTATACTTCGTATCTTCATGCCTTTCTAAAATACCATAATTTTTGGTTTTAAATTACATTTGTATAAACAAATGTAATTTAACAAATACAACAAATGTAAGCAAATAAGAAGGAAACATTAAAAACTAAAGGCAAGTTTTAAGTATTTAGATAAAATTCTCATTGAAATTACATACATCAATAGGTACAATTCTAGCAGGCTAAAATTCAACATAATATTAAGTAATGAAATTATACATATCTGAAACCACATATTTACCTGACATTGCCCTTGGTGTTTCTGAGAACTGTTGCAGCAAAATTCTGTGTGACACCCACCAAGCTGATTCCATCCACTTCCACAATCTGGTCATTGACTTGTATTCTTTGGGAAGAGGGGAAAAATTACCCATAATTAACTTTTCTGATAATACATTACCATTTTCAATACATGAGTTGACAAAACACTTGATATTTAAGACACTCTTATTGATCCAAAATTTGTTTTTTATACACAAGTTCCAGATCTTAGCCAAATGCTTAATGTTTTAAAAAGATTGTTTTGAAAAAATAGATAGAAGCAATACTAAATGGAGAAATTCAGTTTACTCAATATTCATAATCCTATCACAAAGAATTCATAACTGCTAATATATGGCATACTTACATCATTTTTTTGTCCTTAATAAATTACATAAAACATAATACATCCAGCTGAAATACACTATGGGTCTCATACCTAGTCCTGCCTTCCACTTTTCCTCCTCAAGGAATTGCAGGGAATCCTTCCTATTCAAGTTGTACGCTTGAAATATATAACCGTATATATATATAACCGAAATATATAACCGTATATGAGTGCATGTGTTCAGACACATGTATATAAATGTATGTATTTATTTATGTTTAAGAGCAACACACAGTATTAGTGTTATTTAGTATATAATGCTTTTAAACTTATATATATATATATATATATACACACACATATATACATATATATATATATATATACATGTCTGTATACACACACATATATATGTGTATATATATATGTTATATATACACCATTTTTTTATGTCTCAAAATGAAGTATTTCTTTTTTATTTTCTGAAGTATTTTCAAGTATTTCAATCATGAAGAAGTGCAGAGAAAATTAGCTAATAAAAACCCATGTACCAAACACCCAACTTTATCAAATCTCAGCACTGTGCAATATTTGAGTCATTTTTTTTCTAAAGGAATGTATTATGGAAAAGCTGAAGCCCCTTTATTATTTGCCTCTAATTCTAGTCTGCTCACTGTTTCCTTAGAGGTAACCATCATACTAATTTTGATGCTTAGTCTTCCTATTGGGGTTTAGATGTAGAAATAACACATATATATGATATGCACAATATGCTTCACCCAGTGTTACGTATGAGATTTATCCATGGTTATAGAACCATTCTACTAGTTCATTTAAATTTATTTATTTATTTATTTGTATTTTGAGAGAGAAAGGGAGAGAGAGAGGGAGGGAGAGAGAGATGAAAGAGGGAGAGAAAGAATCCCAAATTATGTTCCATGAGGTCAGTGTGCAAAGCCTGACACAGGGCTCAAACTCACGAAACCATGAGATCATGATCCGAGCTGAAATCAAGAGTCAGACACTTAACCGACTGAGCCACCCAGGGGCTCCTCTATTAGTTCATTTTAACACCCGTGTAGCATTATCTTTTATGAATATACCAAAATATATTCACCCATTATTTTGCAGATGGACAGTTGTATTGTTTTCCATTTTAGCTCATACATGTCTCCTTATGCACACGTGTTGGATTTCTCTACAATATATAGCTAGAAATAGAATTCCTGAATCAAGGAACATAGGCTTTTTCAACTTAAACAGACCGACAAATTTTGTTCAAAATGCTATGCCAATCCATATTCTCAATAGCATTGTATGAAAGGTTCTGACTTTCCACACTCTCACCAACCTCACCTTGGTGAGATTTGGAACCTTTTAAATACTGGCAATCTCGGGGCGCCTAGGTGGCTCAGTTGGTTGAGCATCTGACTTGGGCTCAGGTCATGATCTTTCGGTTCGTGAGTTCGAGCCCCGCGTTGGGCTCTGTGCTGACAGCTCAGAGCCTAGAGCCTGCTTTGGATTTTGTGTGTCTCTGTCTCTCTGCCCCTCCCTCGCTCTCACTCTGTCTCTCTCTCAAAAATAAATAAACATTAAAAAAATTTTTAAAAATACTGGTGATCTTGTAAGTGTAAAAAGATATCACATTGTGATTTTAATTGCATGTCCTTGATTACTAGTGTGGCTGCATGTACTTTTCAGATCTTCGAGTTATTTGCCCACTTCTGCAAGACTGTTAGATCATGGTTTTTTTTTTAACCATTTTTGTTGATGTTTTTGGTTTGAGTATCTTGTTCCTTATTGATTTATTGAAGATGTTCTTATACATCCTGTGTACTAACACTTTCTCAATGAAATACGCTGCAAATACCTTTGGCCCAATCTGTAGCTTGTCCTTTCAGATTTCTCTGAAAAATGGTATTTTGAGGAAAAAAAATTTTAAAACTATAATCACATTTGTAATTTCAGCTTTGTATTAGGTATTTCTGTGTTTTCTTTCAGGACTCCCTTTCTGCCTCAAAGTTATACAAACATTCTATACTTTCTTCTACAAGTTTTAACATTTTGCTTTTCTGCATTTAGTTATCTACCCAGCTATTTTTTTTTATTTAAGTTTATTTATTAATTTTTGAAAGACACAGAAAGAGAGAATGGGAGGGGTGGACAGAGGGAGAGAGAGGATCCTAAGCAGGCTTTGTGCTGATCAGTACGGAGCTCGACACAGGGCTCTATCCCACAAACTGTGAGATCACGACCTTAGCTAAAATTAACAGTCAGACACTTAACTGATGGAGCCGCCCAGGCACCCCTGGAAATTATTTTTTATTATAATATGTGTTAGCTATCTATTTTTATTTTTTTCCAAGTGTTATAAACAATCTGCTTAACAACATTTAGTAAGAGTTCACTTTTTCTCCATTGATTGTAGTGCTACGTCTGTCAGGGTTTCAAATGTGTATCAACACGTTTTGGGTTTTCTATTAGTTTCTACTCGTCTGTTTGTCTATCTCTGCATACTCCATTGCTTCATAATAAGTTTTGACATTTCATAGGACAATTCCCTCTACTTAGTTCATTGTCCTCAAATTTTTCTGAACTATTCTTGAGCGTTTTCTCTTCATAATTAATTTTGGACTTACTGGACAAGTTCTATAAAAACACTTGTTGAGGTTTGAATAAAATCATACTGATTTTTAGATTACTTCAGGGAAAACTAACATCTTTATCATATTGACTCTTCCCATCAATAAAATTTGTCTATATAATTACTCTGGGCAAGTGTTGGTTGTATCATGTGTTGCTGCCATGTGTTCAGTTACTTAAAGCTTGAAAACAAGGGCAAAAAGGAGAGCAACCTATCTTTTTTATGTGATGTAGGTGCATTATTTAACAGGTCCAACCAAGGATAATTCGGGGGAATGCATTTTAATTGATCCACTGTTTAAAATTGATTAGAAACCTGGATATACTTAAGTTGTATGTTAATTTGTAGATTTTTGTCCTGAAAAACGCAGATACTTTTCTTCTGTTAAAAAGATAATCTCATAGGCCATGGTTTATTTCCCTGTAGAATATTAACTAGTTTTATGTCTAACTTAGCAACGTTACTTTATTAATGTTCTAATACTACTTTATTAAGTAATATTGCCTTGAACTATGTTCTTCTAAAATGTCCTTTGAATCACATTTACCATCTCACTGGTTCTCTCATTACTTAGTGAGTTTAGTAAAGTCTAATACATGTTCATTTTATATGTACCAAAGTCATTTTTTAACTCTCTGAATATTAGCCTACAATAGCTTTGGAGGTTCCACCAAGATGCCACAGTGGATTCACAAAGCCAATTCAACTGTCATCACAGAAATGCACTTCATGGGCTGTTTAAGCCCAGGCACCCATTTGCTTGGTCTCCACAGTGATTCCAAAGCAGCAATAATGCGCTATGTTTGTTAACATGTTTTTTTTCTAACTTAGTACTTTTGAATTTTTTCTGGTTTTGGTCATTTTGGTTCCGGATCTAGTTTGCACTAGACAGCAACAACAATAAATAATTCCCCACTGGTAGCAGTAATGAGTACCACTGTAATTTTATAATCTGACTTCTTGAGACGGCTATCGGGATTCTGGAGATCTATTATCTCTTGTGGGAGATGGTAAAGAATTTGAGTTGCTCTCCTTTAATTTGTTTTTTTACTATTTGTGGGCTTAGGCTATTTCATATAAAATTTCATGGACACTAGAAAGAAAAATAGCCTTTTGAAATCCTGACTGGTGAGTTTTTATGTTTCTTTTATTACTTAAAGCTATTTCTGAGGTTGCAGAACTGAAGTTACATATTCTCTGTGTTCCTGTAATTGAGAAAAGCCGTTATCTCTCACCGTGTGTGCGTGAAATATGTTCCTAACATAGAAGGGTATTAATAAATTAAATTATAAAGTCTTGGAATTGAAAGGAAGGCTAATCTGGTTCATAGAGAATAGTAAGCATTTTCAGAAATCTTCTCTTCTAGTTTCTTAACAAAGAAAAAAAATCTTTAGAGATTCTTTTAGAAGCTCAGAAAAATTTTTATAGAGAACCCAGTTCACGTAATAAAAGTGAATCTTTAGACAAATAAGACTAACTTAATAATTTTTTTTTAATTTTTTTTTTCAACGTTTATTTATTTTTGGGACAGAGAGACAGAGCATGAACGGGGGAGGGGCAGAGAGAGAGGGAGACACAGAATCGGAAACAGGCTCTAGGCTCCAGCCATCAGCCCAGAGCCTGACGCGGGGCTCGAACTCACGGACCGCGAGATCGTGACCTGGCTGAAGTCGGACGCTTAACCGACTGCGCCACCCAGGCGCCCCAATAATTTTTGCTTAAAATACATACCTATGTTTTCTCCATGATTTTGTAAAGGTGTGGGCTTGTATTTTCCAAATAAAGAGACTAGTTAATCTGAACTTCCTAATATTCTGATATGGATACACCAGGCACCATGTACAGTATCCCTACATAAAGTTTCACAAGCATAAAAAAATTGTGTTTAAACTGAATCATAATTCTGACTTTTATATCAATAGTAATTATGTTTTAAAAGTATCAGCTTAAAACATGATTTCCAAGATTCTTAGTGATCTCCAAAACCTTAGTCATAAAGCATAGCTTTTAATATAAACAACTCTGCTTCTATCAAAATGTTATAGGGTGGCTCAGTCGGTTAAGTGTCCGACTCCTGGTTTCGGCTCAGGTCATGATCTCATGGTTCGTGAGC